TCACTACTGGGTTGCTTGTCGCTTTTAAATTTTTTAACGCTGTCAATAAATCGCTGCATGATGTCAGCCGTATTGCTGCCAATGTCTTTGACAATGAGTTGTCATTTAGCCCGCTAATTATATGCGTGATGATCGACAAATCATCCACTGCACCTTGTCGTCCAATCGTTACCATAGCGTAGTAAAACTCAACGTAGTCTTCATTAACTTTGCGTCTTCGTCTAGCCATCGTTTTGTGTACTTCAGCCGTATTGTACCCAGTCGGAAAATCGACATAAAACGCCTGCACGAAATCCGACCAGCTGCTATGCACNCTCATTAACTTTGCGTCGTCGTCTAGCCATCGTTTTGTGTACTTCAGCCGTATTGTACCCAGTCGGAAAATCGACATAAAACGCCTGCACGAAATCCGACCAGCTGCTATGCACTGGTTGCGCGTCTAGCCATAGCTTCGCCATTCCTTTCAATTTGTGTTGTATAGCCACCAATACCATTACCTCAGGCCATTTGTAGTTTTGCTTAAGTTGTTCAATTTTCATGATGAATTGCCCTGACGTTATAGTCCCTTTAACCGGATCGAAATCAGGCAAAATTCCGACCATATCTTGAATCGTCATAGTTGGTTGTCGTTGTATATATTGAACACTTGCTGGCTCTTGAATTTCGCTTTCATTACTTACAAGCGTTTGTTCGTTGCGGCTGCCTTGCACTCCTGTGTTCATTGCGCTGATCGCTGCCGTCAAATTCACCATTACTGCTTTCAGCCCGTCGATTTGCGTTTGCAGCTCATCTGTAGTAGCAGTCTCTTCTAGCTCGGATGAATCGATTTCATCAGTTCCCAGTAACTCCTGTAGCTTCGCAACTTTGTGGGCCTTTGTCCCAGTCGTTGTTGCACCATTAGCTCGTAGTAATTCGTTTAGTTGAGCAACCTTAAGCGCAGTTAGCTTCAACATTTTAAAATTCCCTTTCTCGGTAGTGTTTACGTCTTCACTCTTAAACGTGGAATGAATTACCCCGAATTTCTATTCTCCTCTGTATCTTCACAGTTTCG